CTACCTACTCCAGGACTTCTGTGGGGATCAAATGAGATGAGGCATGGGAAAACGCTTCACAGACATTTGGTTAAAGTGTAAAATATTTGGCTATAAAGCAAGTCATGTTCCTGGGCTGAAGAAATTCCAAGGGGGCTAGTCTCTAGGGAAAGGAAGCCGGGCATTGCTATGTAACGGCATTACCCGGCACCCACAGCACCGTTTCTGGGTTTGGCTGGGCTGTGGGCCGCATTTTGCGCCATGGGGTCTTTGGTCATCATGGGCTGTGATTTGGTGGGCTGTGGCTCCGGGGTGGTGGCATGGCCTGTGTCCCACTTGGGGGAAGCTGAGTATTGTTTTGTGGGCACCAGGTCTGTGGTGCTATTTCTTTGTAAATGGCCAGTGCACATCACGGCAGCTCCTGCGTTGAGCATCTGCCCCCTGGTGGTCAGTGCGCATCAATGTGACCGGTCGAACAGTCAGACACTTAGTATTTTATATATATAGATTCATGGGCCATGCAAAATTACCAACTTAAAAATTAGCCTGCTACATTTGGTCAATCATTTAATTAATGCACCCCTAATGCCTTGGCAGGACCAGATCAAATGATTTCAGGGGCCATATATGGCTCCAGGGCTAGATGTAGATATTCCTCCCTAAGTGAAACCAACAAGCATTTGCAGAGTTGTCCCTGGAAAGTAGCAAATGGAATGAGTCCTTATTCATTTAAATGGCATCATTTGATTATGTGATAGTTCAGTTCTATACTCTGTGAAATGTCAGTTTAAAAAGAACTGTACCAACTGAGATTTAATTGCTTCATTGGAAATGCTCTGTGCCTCTACTTTCATGTTACACACAGTCTGGACAGTGTTTCTCCTCAGAGTACCTTTATTAGTATTAAAGGCTAAAATGTTTGCTCAATAGCATCTCTTCCTTTGATCTTCTAGAAACGTGGGCACATTTGTCTTCAGCCTGCAAGTAGTTTCATTTTTTTCAGAATTAGAAATTAGTACGTGAGGTATGGACCAGTGTATGTTTGCTTTCATGTGAAATTGTATTTCCTTGTTGCTTAGATGTTAACTGGGGCTCATCACTGACATTGTTGCAGGACTAATGGCAGACTTAAGAACTCATGCCATACTTTTCTTTCTGTTGTTGAAAAGGCAAAATCACAAAGTTTAGGTGCCACCACCACTGAAGTCATGTTTCCAGGCTGGTGAGCACATCTCTGTGCCCCTTAGTCACCCGGGGCCCTTTCAACTAGTACATCAAAGTTGAGATGGATCTTCATTCCCTTATTGTCAGTACCTAGTTGTGCTTAGGGTACAGAAAATGAACTATAGTGAATCTCTTTGTTTCCTCAATCTAATCACAAGAGAGCACACAAACCCAAATTGTAGGGACATTCTATCAAATACATGACCAGTATGCTTCAAAAGCCAAGGTCAGGAAAGACTGAGAAATTGTCACAAATTAGAGGATACTAAGGAGACATAACTAATTGCAATGTGGGATCCTGATTGAATTCTGGAACAGAAGGACATGGGGGAGGAGGGATTAGTAAAATTTTAATAAGGTCTGTAAATTAATAGTATTGTAACAACGTGAATTTTATTATTTAGGTAATTATATGCTTGTTATATATGATGTTAACATTAAAAGAGACTATGTGAAGGGTGTGTGGGAGCTTTGTACTATTTTTGTAACTTTTCTGTAAGTCTAAAATTATTTCTGAGTAAATAATCAAAAAATAAGGTAATGGCTAAATAAAAAATTGTAAGTTATCAGAGGGATACTTGTTGCTTAATTTTAGAGAGTTAAGGATGGTTTGTTTTATACAAACTGTTTTATTTAGAGTAACCTGTATTGTTCATTTAAATTCAAGGAACCCAAGAAAATAATTCAGGAAGGAACCCTTTGTTTACTCTTTATTAAATCCAGAGCAAACTGGCTTCCCTGTCAATACTTCAAACCTCTTCCAAATAGGAGTTGATCTGACCATTTAGGAAGTTAGAGATGTCTCTCTTGTTGAAGTATGGAGTTGGTGGGTCTTTTTAAAATAACATTAAATGTTTTTAGTTCATTCATGCTGTGTGCAATGTCTTCCCAGGTGTTCCGGAAGGACCTCATCAGTGCCATGAAGCTGTCAGATTCTCACCACATTAATCCTGACAGCTATTACCTCTTTACGGATACATGGAAAGAAGAATGGGAAAAGGGAGTCCAGGTACCAGCCAATCCAGACACACTTCCGCAGCCTTCCCTCAGGTATGTGCATGCTTGCATCTTTGACTTAGGGAATGAATGTTCTTATGTTTATCTGTGTGCTGCTTGGGGAGAGACGTTGAGTGGCTAATTACACATTTATAATACAAAGTAACATACCCTGATCACCAGTTCACTCAGACCAGTGGCAGAGTATACCAGGCTAGGATAGGTTAGTAGTCGAAGTCAGGGTCATTTATTTACAGATAAAATATGTGCCCATTTACAGGATAAAACTGTTTAATGTCCAATCCTGAGATGTGATAAGATTTTGGAGACCAGGATTTCCAGGTCTGACTCAACAATCAATAGCATTTATTAGTCTTTATTAGAGCATTAATTACATAACCCCATAATAACCCTATTAATACATTACCCCCATGACAACTTGTTTCATTATAGAAGGACCTTATAGTGATAGCATCTATAAATAGAAGGCCAAAACACTTAGAGTTTGTAAAATGCATGAACACAAATGAAAGGGGATAGCTGTAACAATTAGGTTGACTATAAGCACATAACCTTCATTTGCAAAGACTTGAGAAGAAAGTTCAAATAGAAGAGGATTTTGGTTTTGTGGAAAGGGGAGAGGACTTTTCTGCCAGAGGAAATAGTAAGTTCAGCTCCTCAAGAGTAATGACTGGTTTTGGGAGCCACTTTTTCTTACTCATCTTTGTGTTCCCAGTGCTTTGCAGAAAGGCTGGCATGAAACAAAATCTATACTTATAATAGGGCAAGATGCAAATTGGTCAGGATGCCATCACATAACGACCGATCAGCAGGAGGGCGGGACAGTGAGCTACAAGCAGCAGAGAGCTACAGGCAGACGGGACAACAAGCTACGTGCGGCAGAGAGCTATGAGCGGCGGTGGGCGGGGCGGCCAGCTGAAGCAAGTGGCAGCAAGCTACTGGAGCACGGATTCATGCGCAGGGCCACTAGTGCTTGGTATAAGTTTGAGTGAGTGAGTGAATGAGTGAGTGAGTGAGTGAGTGAGCAATGGAAGAGAGGGAAGGAAAGAGATAGCAACAGATAAAGGGGTTGGTGGGACCTCTTGGATCCTATGAGAAATTATACATCTCATTGTACATCTATTTCTAGTGCATATTAGGTTCATAAAGGGCAAAAATCACATCCTTGAATTTCATTTCCTAGTGGTAATGAGGGTACCACCTCCTCCTGTGATGTCGGTGGAGGAGGCCACATAGGGAGCAGTAGTAAGGTGCTTTTTCCATTTCCAGTGAGAGAGGTATCAATGGAGGCTTCATGGGGATCCAGAACTCCCAGCCTCACCCAGCAGTAACAGAGAGTCCCTACCCCTTGGATGTCAACAGACATTTGTTTTGGAAAAAAATTAAGGGTAGCCCTAGTCGGTTTAGCTCAGTGGATAGAGTGTTGGCCTGCGGACTGAAAGGTCTCGGGTTCAATTCCAGTAGAGGGCATGCAGGAGACAGCCGATCAATGGTTCTCTCATCATTGATGTTTCTATCTCTCCCTTTCCTTTCCTCTCTGAAATCAATACAAATATATTTTTAAAAAATTTTAAGGATCACTGAACAATCATAACTTTCCCCGTTGATTATTAAGGTTGCTTTTCACAATTTCAGCTGCACAGTCATTTTTACAGTACCATACCACTGTGTAAAAGCAAGGTCACTTGTAATCCGTAATGACAGCAGATCAGTAGTTTTTTGGAAGGGGACAGTGGAGTAAGAGGGCACAAGGAAACTTTTGGAGGTGATGAATATATTAATTATCTTGGTTGTAGTGGTTGTAGTGTTGGTTGCAGAGATGTATATGTGTGTGTGTGTGTGTGTGTGTGTGCGCGCGCACACGCGCACGTGCGCCAAGACTTACTAGTTTGTACATTTAAAATATATACAGTTTCATGTATGTCATTTATACCCCACTAATGTTATACACACTCATTTTATGTATATAAACTATAAATTACAAGTAAAGGAGTATATAGATGGGTAAGGAAATGTGATTTAGGGCACATAAAGAAAGACACAACAGCATGGCTCAGTGGTTGAGCATCAGCCTATGAACAGGAGGTCATGGTTCGAACCGGTCAGGGCACTGCCTGGGTTGCGGGCTCGATCCCCAGTGGGGGACATGCAGGAGGCAGCTGATCAATGATTCTCTCTCATTATTGATGTTTCTATCTCTCTCTAGCTTCCTCTCTGAAATCAATTATATATAGAGAGAGATATAGATATAGATATAATTTTTTTTAAGACAACAAGATGTGACTATAGGCTACCTAACAGCAGAACTCCTACTAGTCAAATAGTAGGTTTTCAATATACAGTTTTTATTATAAGAAGAATAAGACAAAGGAATCAAATTGGAAAATGGGTAAATGTTAGGAAAGAAAATTCATGATGAACCAAAAGATATTATGGTGAGAAAAATGAAGAAGATAGGAAGGGAAGGGCATAAAAACAAAAAAGATTAAGGAATAATAGCAAATAAGGGCTGAACCGTCCATTTTAACCACCTGCCTTTCCTATACTAAAAGTAAAAAGATTTTTTTACACTTGATTGAAAAAGTTTAGTGTAAGTAAACATGCATTACAACTAATGAGTGACATTGTGAATCAAAATAGAAAAGTAGTAGGTAGGAGGGCTTCGCTAAGTTCCAAGTTTGTCACATGACCACCATGGGCTTTTATAAATGTGCTGCTTGATTTTTTTTAAAGATTTTTCAAAAATGAGATATAATTTATATATATATATATATATTTTGTCAAGATAGAATTCACATACCATAAAATTCAATCTTTTAAATTGTATGGTTGTTTTCAGTATACTCACAGAGTTATGAAACTATCACCACTATGTAATTCCAGTTTGGAGGCAAGAAGTCCAAGTTCAAGTTGCCACCAGGATTGGTGTCCAGTGAAGCCTCTCATCCTGATTGTAGACAGCTGCCTTATCTCTGCATCCTCACATGGCCTTTCCCTTGTGTGCATGCAGAGAGAGAAAGAAAGAGGAAGGGGGGCGGGGAAGAAAGGGATGGATGGATACATCTGCTATCTCTTCCTCTCTCTTCCTCTTCTTTTTTCCCCCTTCTCTTATAAGGACAACAGCCCTATCAGATTAGATCCCCACCCTTGTAACTCACTTAACCTTTATCTCCTTATAGGCCCCATGTCCAAATTCAGTCACACTGGGAATAAGGTCTTCAGCATATGAATTTGGGGAGGACACAATTCAGTCCATAACAACCACTTATTTACTTTCTGTCTCTATGGATTTGCCTATTCTGGACATCTCATATAATGGAATCATACAATCATCTGTGGCCTTTTGAGTCTGACTTCTTTTTTAAAATATATTTTTATTGATTTTTAGAGAGGAAGGGAGAGGGATAGAGAGAGAAACATCAATGAGAGAGAGAGAGACATAGATCGACTGCAGGCCTCCTGCTGGAGGTCAAGCCTGTAGCCACGAGGAATCTTTTGAAACTAAGTTCAACAAATAAAGATGGTGTTGACTCCCATTACATGTTTTTAGGTAGACTGGATGATTTCATTGCTAGTTAGTAACAAAGAAGCTTTAGGAAGTTTCTGGTAGGTGTTCATTTGCATATTTAAACTAGTTTCTATTGCAATAAGGTTCCAGTAGAAGGAAAACTGTTTCATGTTTGGTTGAAAGGAAATATGCATCTGATCTTCTTCCCAAACTAGTTCCACATTTAACTGAAGGTAGAGCCATCCTTTCAGAAAGACTGCTTTTTTAGTCTTTTGGGCTAAAATTCTTAGAGTCATCTTTGATTCTTCATTGCCTGATACCCCATATTCAGTATTAAAGACAGTCCTCTTGTTTTACTTTCAAAATATAATGTACATTTCATATAGCAAGTCAAGGGAAGAACAGCCCCTAGTCAAAAAAGAACACAAGCCTGCCTCTCACTGCTGTATTTTGTCATCATGCCTCTCTTCCCCTCACTCTCCTTGCCCCCTCTTCCCACAGCTTTCTCATTCCATTTTAGGCAGCAGCAGTCTGCCATCTTGCTTTCCATTATGAGAATGCAGTACATTTATCTTACTTAAAGTTTAAAGCAGTCCTTTGACAGTTTTTCCAGTACTATTGCTGTATAAATTGTTTTTCCAGTCACTGTTGCTCCCAGACTTAGCAGCATCAAGCAACTATGTTATCATATTCATGGATTCTGTGGGTTGGGAATTCAGACAGGGGACAGGGGAATGGCTTATCTCTGCTCTACAATGTCTATGACCTCATCCTAGGAAGACACAAAGTTTGAGGGTGACTTAGCAGCTGGGGACTGGAATCATCTGCGGGCTTATTCACTGGCATGTCTGTCACTAGCATGATGGAAAGATTGCACGTGGCCTCTTCATGTGATTTGGCTTCCGCACAGCATGACAACCTCAGCATAGGTAGACTTTTTACAGGCTCAGGGCTCCACATGCACGTGTTCCAGCAAGCAAGGTGAAAACCGTATTCCCTTTTAAATCCCAGCCTTGCAATTCTCATAGCATCACTTCTGCCGTATTGTGCTGGTGAAAACAGTCACAGGCCCTCCGGGATTCAGAGGGGGCGGGGGAGGGAACAGACTTTACCACTTGGTGCAGGAGTGGCAAAATCACATTGTAGAAGGGCATGTGAGGTTTTGAAAGCACAATCTGTCACAGAGGTTGTAAATAATCGTCCTGTTTAACTGATGAGGCATGAACTCTGGTAGAGAAGCAGTCAGCCCAGAGTGGCAAGATCAACAAGGGGCATCTTGGGAAACTACTCCTAGAAATATTACTGCAAGGGGCTCCTATTTAGTTAGCTTTTAAATCATGTATTTCCAGCCTTTACAACCATGGCATTATGATATTTGCGCAATATCTGTGCTGTTCACAAATTATTCTAATTCGCTCATTAGGAAATGAAGCATAGTCTCTAAATACCAAATACTTACACCAACTGAAGCCACACTGAGGACTTACTGTACGTAAGACACCAGAAGAGACCATATGTCAGCTTAGAGTGATTGCAGCTTCCTTTCCTTGCCTCCTCGGTGTCATAGCAGTGTTCATATGGGCCAGAGGTGGCAGGTAGCTAGCCTGTCCTGAGGAGCAGCAGGTGGGTGGGCCTTCATCCTGTGGGGCTAAGCAGGTGTAGTTGTGGGTCCTTTCACCAATGATCAGTTATCAAGACGGTTACTGAAATGTTCATTCACACCCAAGCATCCAAATTGAAAACTGCACTTGCTACATCATTCTAACAAAATTGTTCAGACCTCTAGGCTTGTGAGCTTTGGCTGATTTGGTCAGTGGTTTGGTGACCATTCAAAGAGTGCCTCTAGTACAGGGGTGGGCAAACTTTTTGACTCGAGGGCCACAATGGGTTCTTAAACTGGACCGGAGGGCCGGAACAAAAGCATGGATGGAGTGTTTGTGTGAACTAATATAAATTCAAAGTAAACATCATTACATAAAAGGGTACGGTCTTTTTTTTTTTTTTAGTTTTATTCATTTCAAACGGGCCGGATCCGGCCCGCAGGCCGTAGTTTGCCCACGGCTGCTCTAGTACCTAGTATATAGTCGCCAGAGAATAAAGTCACCCAGGGATAATCCTGATATTTCTGCCAGCTATAGCAATGTTATATGTACTTGATATTAAAGTTCCATTTTTTAAATTCCAAAATAATAATTTTTTTACTAATTCTCATAGACTTTCCCCTCTATCATTATAAATACAAGAATTTCTCCTTGTGACTGTGTATTAACTTTACCTTTTACCCACGCATTTCCTTGCCTTTGGTGTTAACTGGTTTGGTCTATAATCTTTTTATTGTCATATACTCAGTTCTTAGAGTCAGACCTTATTAGTTACATATGAAAATACACATATGAAAAGACGAGTGAGATAACATCATTTGTTATCATTATTATAAATTTTGCATTGAAGTATAATATATACACAGAAAAGTAACCAAAGTATAACTGTATAACTCAATGAATTTTCGTGAATTAAACACACTCATTTAACTGCCACCTAGATGAAGAAATAGAACAGTACCAACAGCCTAGAAGCCCTCCTTCTGTTCCTGCCCACTAACGGACCTCCGCACATAGGTGATCATTTTGCCAGTTTTTGAACTTCATATTGGTCATCATTGTGCTTGTGAGATTCATCCATGCTGTTGCATGCAATAGATCATTAAGTTTCACTTCTGTGTCATGTTCCATTGTGTGAATATCCCACATTTTATTTTTCCATTCTGCTCTTGATGGATATTTGGGTTGCTTCCAGTTTTCAGCTATTATGAAAAACGCTAATATGGACATTTTTCTTCATCTTTTGGTAGACATAAGTTTACTTCCTTGTTAAGTATATTCCTAGGAATGGGTTTGCAAGGTCATAGGATATATATATGTTCAGCTATTATATCACCTGCCAAATGGTTTACCAAAGTGTTGTCCCAGTTCACACTCGCACCAGCAGTGTATGAGAGGTCTGTCTGCTCCACTTCCTTGTGAACACAAAGTATTGTCAGTTTTTGGTCAGACTTCAAGTCTAGCCATTCTGGTAGGTAACAGTGATTGATTCCAATTGGCATTTTTGTGATAACTAAAGAGGTTGAGAGCCTTTGTCAAGTATCTGATCAAATTTTTTGCCCAGTTTTTAATGGGGTTATCTTTTTCTAATTGATTTGTAGAAGTTTGTTATATACAGGGTGGGGCAAAAGGTTTACAGTTTTGAGTACGCGAAACACAGAGTTTATTCTTGTATTATTTGCCTCACCCTGTATAGTTGATAAAAAGAGGTTTTCCAGTTTCTTCCTTTATGGTTAATGGCTTTTATCTTATTTAAAGTATCTTTGCCTATCCCAAAGTTAAAAAGATATTCCCCTGTTTTCTTCCAGAAGCTTAATAAACATATTAGTTTAATTTTAAAACACATAGTCTGCCTCATTTCACATAAAATGTGACACGATTGAGATGAAGAGTTATCAAATATTCTGCCTCTTAGAAAAAGCTGAATCTTGAAAAAAATTAGATATGCTATAATTACCTCGTATGCCATGCACCAAAAATGCACAGTATATTTAATCTCATAGTCTCTGGAGCATTCATATGCTTGTCTTGTCCTTTTCCGTTGGGCTGATTTCAGTTGGAAGCAGGCCTCTGACAGCAGTTTCCAAATTTTTAGCTTCAGTTAATATTCTGAGGTTCTGCTTTTTTCCTCAAATATTTGTTCCCTTTGGCTTTAATAACTCCATATGGTAGAAAAATTAGCATATGCAAATATGTGTAGTTACTAATTTTATTCAACATATATTATTTGGAATCATAAGCTTTTGGAAGGATGCTTAAGGAGGAAACATTTACTCTGTATTTACAGAGTGGACTTGGCCTATAATATAGTTATATGTCTTCATATGAATACATTTATGTTTATGAATCTAACTGCATATACAGTAACTCTAGAATAAAGAAACTGGCTCCAGACAAACAATTTTCATTATTTCATGATGACATACATATCTCTTTCTTTCCCTTTTTTTAGATGGCCCACCCTGTTCTTTAAAATTGCCAGAGAATAATCATTCAGATTTCCTCTTGGTTATATTTTCTGATGCTTCACGCAGTACCTAAGACATCAGTTATAGAATAGGTCATTGGTATGAGAAACTTCTATTTGTTCCCTTGCTTGATTTACTTGCCTTGGGCTCTTAAGTGTTAGAAAGGGTGAGGGGAAATATGGATTTGCTCTGGCTAATGAAGAAGTTGATGGAAGAACAGGAACCTTTACTCCCATCATATAGCCCAGGCTCAGACTTCTAGTCTCTATCATTTACGGCTGAGAACTGCCTTAAGTTTGTGTATGTCCATGGCCTCTTGACTTTAACTCATCTACACAAATAGTGAAGATAATAAATATAACAGCAATGACATTATTTTTTATTTAATTTATTGGGGTGACATTGGTTAATAAAATTATATAGGTTTCAGGTATACAGTTCTATAATACATCATCTGAAGAGCATTATGCTAACTGAAATAAGCCAGTCAGAAAAGGACAAGTACCATATGATTTCACTCATATGTGGAATCTAATGAACAAAATAAACTAACAAACAAAATAGAAACAGACTCATAGAGAACAGACTGACAGCTGTCAGAGGGGGTAGGGGTGAAAAAGGTAAAGAGTTTAAGTAAAGAAATAAATTCATAGACACAACAGTATGGGGAGGTAGAAGAGAGTATAGGGGGGATAAATGATGATGGAAGGAGACTTGACTTGGGGTGGTGAACAATGACATTGAACATTTATTTTTTACTATACACTATACGAAGCACTTTATATATTTTATTTCATATACTCACCATAATAGCCCTAAAAGTTTGATATTATTTTATTATAATTTATGATTTATCACCCTTATTTTTTAGCTAAGGAAACTGAACTGTATAGAAATTAATTGCCCAAGATCACCATATAAGTGAGAAAAAAACAGGCTTATGTGAATCTGTAGGCCGCACTCTTCACCATCATCCAGTATTGCCTCCAGGGCAGAAAAGCACGGCCTTAAATCTATCTTTGGTATGGAACCTGGCTGTGCCTTTGTGCCAATATCACCCCTTCCTCATTTTCCCCTTCTAAATAAACTTGGTGGCCATTGCACCAAGAACACAAAATGCAATATTTTATCAGAATGAATGGTACTAGGGACCAGGGAGCCATGAGGATAAATGAAGCATTTCATCAGCAGTCAGTGTTCAGAGATGAAAAAAAAAAGGAATTTGTAGAACCATTTCTAGAAAGGGATCTGCCATTCCTCCCAGTGGGCAGAGCAGGAGATTTCCATGGGGTAGAAAGGCAGAGCATTGAGCTCCACTCTGGCCTGAGTCCCTTTGGGCCCATCCAGTCAGTGCCTGCAATCTGTCATTTGTTGATTGTTATTAGTGTCTTTCTTTTGCTTTTCTAGGATTATCGCCGATAAGGTAAAGGATGTTCTGTTTACCCGCCCCCGGAAGTATATTCATTGCTCCATGCCAGAGAACTCGGAGCTTGGCTATGTCAACATCAGGGAGCAGGCGGCATCTGTGTGCCGATATGACCTAGACGACATGGACATGTTTTGGCTCCAGTCCCTCAATGAAGACCTTAAAGAAATGGGTAAGTTGTTTTCTCACAACTAAGTTGTCCCTTGATTCACATGTGATTTTTTTAAAGTTATCAGAACCATTTAAATTGCTTTCATCTTGTGGCTTCCTTTCTTTTCTGGCCTTTTTGTTTATTTTCTCCTTGATTTTCATCTTCATGAGGCATAACTAGAAATGCATAAATATATTGAAATCGAGCAATAACATTTAAATTGAACCTTTTCTTCCCTTATTCATGGTGAATAGCGCAGATCAGGGATGGCATGTAGGTTTCACAAGGCTGTTTCCCAATTCTGAGTGAGAGGGATCCTGGCTGACTGGTGCAGCGGTTCTCAACCTGTGGGTCACGACCCCTTTGGTGCTCGAACGACCCTTTCACAGGGGTCGCCTAAGACCATCCTGCATATCAGATATTTACATGACGATTCATCACAGTAGCAATATGACAGTTATGAAGTAGCAACGAAAATAATTTTATGGTTGGGTCACAACATGAGGAACTGTATTTAAAGGGCCAGAAGGTGGAGAACCACTGGACTGGTGATTGGATTTCTGGTTGAGAAGGATTCTGAGACTGGTTCCTCACTCAACCCTGAAAAGCACTCAGATCACTGAACAGGGCTGAGGTAGTGGCCCCTCTCCCACCTCCTTCCGATGGAGAGAAGCTCCAGCTTCAGCATGAGCACCACTACAACTGACAGTTTGATGTGACCAGGACACCTTAATACAAGTCTTGTCATTTTGCTGCTCAGAATAAGAATGACAGGCCTAAGGCAAAGCATCCCCAAAACAGTCGTTAGCTACCTCCCGTGAGTTCTAGAGTTCTCATGCAATTCTCAAAAATAAAATGAAGCAAAAATAAAACTTGGAAGGAAGCATAAAAATAATTTTAAAGAGACTGTCTACCATACTGTGCCATACCAGCAATTCTGGGAAATCCTAGGCTGAAAGGAAACTCACTTCATACTTACACACTGCTCTTTTTTATTTTTTTTAATATATTTTATTGATTTTTTTACAGAGAGGAAGGGAGAGAGATAGAGAGTTAGAAACATCAATGAGAGAGAAACATCTATCAGCTGCCTCCTGCACACCTCCTACTGGGGATGTGACCAAACCCGGGACCCTTCAGTCCACAGGCTGATGCTCTATTCACTGAGCCAAACCGGTCAGGGCCACACAACTCTTTTTTACCTATCTTCAATCTGAGCAGTGTTAAGGTCCAAGTGTTCCTGTGGAACTGTGGGTGCTTTTTCATTCCTCCATATGAGATACAGTGAAGGATACATTTGATTTCATTTTTGTTTGCATCACATTTGCTCATTGTCTTCCCTCCGTCCTCCTTTTTTCTTTCTTCCTTTCTTTCTTCTTTCTTCCTTTCTTTCTTCCTTTCTTTCTTCTGAATGCATGTGAACAATAAATTAAAATTCTATTAACCCAGTTTGGCATAATGGTGTTACTTATTCTACCAGTAACCAATACTTACTCCTTGCTTCTTAAAACTTTTCGTTTTATGTCTTCTCTTACTCTGCCTTCTGAGAGGAGGGGAGTGTAATTTAGAGCGGGGACCATGAAGAGAAGAGAATAAAAGACTGACAGAGGGGAAATCAGAGTGTGGGGGCGTAATCAACTGGATTGACAGCTCGATGCGTGGTGTTTATGAACCGTATAACATCCATGTACATTACAGCCATTGCAGTGCTGCCTTCGCCATGATATCACCCTATAACAAGGTCCCTTTGGGATTTTGCAGTTAATCCCTTTTGGATGAGTTTAAATAAGCTTTTTTATTTAGGTACAGTTACTGTGTACCCCTCACACAGTTTCCGTTTCCCCTAATGTTAATATCTCACTTTAACATGGCACGTTTGTCAAAGCTGAGAAACTAACACAGGTACATTACTATTAACTAAATTCCAGCCTTTGTTGGGATTCCATCAGTTTTTTTACTAATGACCTTCTTCTGTTCCAGGATCCATCCCATCCAGGACACCACACTGTAATTATTCTTGGATGAGTTTTAAAGGAGAATTGCCTTATCTCGAGCATTCCTTTAGGGTGAATGATATTGTAGTGAGGCTAATAAGAGCTTAAAACAAACTTTCAAAAACAACATTAAATTAAGCATTTTTTGGCTCAGATTAAGGAATTTTAAAAATTGAGTGCTTACTACAGACCACCAGGCACTGTACTAAGCAGGGTATTAATATTACCTCATCTCAGCCTCACAAGAAATCTGAGTTTGGCATAATTTTTATCCTACAGATAAGAAAACTAATCCCTAAGAGGATACATAACTTGTCAAAGTTTACATAACCAATATGAGGTCAAGTTGGAATTTGAATTCAAGTGCTCTTATAACCAGACACTGTAACTCTTTCACTCTATAAAAAAAAATGTGTAATTTGTCTTGGGTAGGTTTTTTATTTTATAAGTAGTTACAACATTAAAAGGTAGTTTATGTGGAATTTCAGAGTTTTTAGGATATTTTATATTACAAATGAAGTATAATACTTGGGTAAATTTGTTTGGAACATTTTGAGAACTATTTCTAGTTTACAAGCTGTTAGAAGAAATATAAATGTGCTCTATAGAATCATTAGTCCCCCCCCCCCCAACATAAAAATATTTCGTTTTCATCAGTATCCACCATGTGAATTTTTTATGTTGGATTATTAAGTATTCGAAGACTAAGACAAAATTAAAAGTACAGAAGGAAATGGAATCAAGAAGCAAAAAAAAGTAACATCAGAATTTGCACTTAGACCAACGGTTCTCAACCTGTGGGTCGCGACCCCTTTGGTGCTCGAACGACCCTTTCACAGGGGTCGCCTAAGACCATCCTGCATATCAGATATTTACATGACGATTCATCACAGTAGCAACATGACAGTTATGAAGTAGCAACGAAAATAATTTTATGGTTGGGTCACAACATGAGGAACTGTATTTAAAGGGCCAGAAGGTTGAGAAACACTGACTTAGACCTTTGTAAATGCTAATAGGTTTGTTTCATATTTGAGTTTGCCATTGGAAAATATTATTGGATTTTTTTAAAAATCAGGTTTGAGAAACAAAATATTTTTTATGTATAATCATATATACAGTACCTAGAATTTTCTTTTCTGACTTAATACCTTTTTTATTAAAATGTCCTTATTTAGTCATTAGATGTGCTCATTGGGACTAATTTGCTAGGGCTGATTTATATCTAAATAGTTATGTGATTCTAATTATTTTCTTATGCTACGAGTTGACGTGTTCAAAATTACAAAGCTCAGTGAAAGTCCTCCCTCATTGGAAATAAGAGAAAACGCAGAGAGATTTAGGAAGAGACTGGCTAGGATTTCGATAGAAAATTAGAAGGGTCGGTAATATTTCTTACAAGGAATATGGTGAAATATAGTTCTTCATGTGCTAAACACTAATATGTGAAGAGAGGTAAGTATTAGAGTAACTCTAATAAGTGATTCTTTGACATCTCCTCACCCCTGCACCAGGCTCACAGTAGGTGACTTGGGAATGACAGCTGGCTAACGAGTTGATTGACTGCTTGTATTTCTGTGCAGGTTGTGAGCCAATTGATGAAAACCTAATGGAAAAGACAATAGAAGTCCTGGAACGCCGATGCCATGAAAATATGAAACATGCTATTGCGACAGAGGAAGGGCTAGGCATCGAGTATGATGAAGATGTGATCTGTGATGTGTGCCGGTCCCCAGAGAGTGAAGACGGGAATGACATGGTGTTCTGTGATAAGTGTAACATCTGTGTGCACCAGGTCAGTGCGAGTGGAGGCCGCCACCGCCCCCTGCCCAGCCTTGCTGGAGCTCAGTCATCATCTCCAGCGGCCATACCTGGGTAGCAGCTGGCATTTAAGGGGGAAAATGAAGATTTGGCCTGGCCATTCTTCAACAATTCCTTTAGAAACAACACTTATTATGATTCCAAGGTGACTTAAAATTTTACCCCAGGGGTTTAAACCCAGGTCTTTATTATGTCGCTTCATGCCCACGCCATTGAGATTGCCTTGTTCGATACTTTCACAGTCCCCCCGGGGAGTCTTTCTGCTGACTCTCTCCTCTGCCTTCGCATCCCTACTACATCCCCAGGTTCCACCCATGGTCAGTAACCTTGGGGGTTTACACTTCCGACAGTTGGAAATCCAGACTCCTTATCCTGGAACCCAGAGCCCTCCCCCCTCTCCCAGAAATGCCACTCCCAGGAAGCTAGGTCCACTCCACTTTTAAAGATTGTAGAATCTAAGGTCTGTAGAAGACTGTCCCACTCCTCAATTTTACAAGTAGTACCAGGAGAAGGAAGTGACTTTACCCAAGCTCTTATAGCTAGTTATTTGTCATTCTTTCTACCACACTGCCTTTTCAACTAATGATGATATGATGATATTAGCATTCTTTTCAGCTTTTTCCTTTTCTTCCCCTACAAGCCCTTATTCCTGACACTGTCCTGTCTCCATGTTTCAGCCACACCCCAATTTCAAATGCCTTCTCCCACTTCCAGCTATCAAAGAAATCTACATATCTTCCAAGATCTAGTTCAAATTCTTTCTTGAACTCCCCTATCCTAAGTGATTTTTCACTCTTGTGTGTTTCATTAATTTCATTAGTTTGTCTAGCATATAGGCACACAGCACCATCCATGTACCAGGACTGGGCTGCATACTGAAGACACAATCAGCCCAGCCGAGGTGGCCCAGTGTTTGAGCATTGACCCATGAACTAGGAGGTCACAGTTCGATTCCCGGTCAGGGCACATGCCCAGGTTGCAGGCTCGATCCCCAGTAGAAGGCGTGCAAGAGGCAACTGATCAATATTTCTCTCTCTTCATTGATGTTTCTCTCTCTCCTTCTGAAAAATCAATAAAAACATTTTTTTTAAAAAACAGTCAGTGATGAAGAGGCAGACATGGTCTTTACCCCCAGGAAGATCAGAGTCTGGTGTAGGGACTACAAGGAAAATGCCCTCTAGATAGAAGTCTGTGCTGCTGTGTATGAGAGGGATGGGAGTCAGGGACAACTTCCAGGTGGTGGCACCCAAGCTGAATCTTAATGGCCAAAAGGAGATGCCAGATAAAACAGCAGCACATGTTCAGGCAGAGAGGGGACATGTTCAGACAGGATAGTGAGAGTGGGCAAAGCTCGTTGGAGGCAACTCTGAGCAGTTCAGAACTGCGTAGCATGGTGGGTGGAGCAGGGAAAGTGTGGAGAGTGAGGGTAGAGAGGGACACAAAGGACACGTCAAGGGCCTTCTCTCCCAAACTAAGCAGCCTCGGTTTTGTCCTGTCAACACTGAAGGATAGGATTTGTATTTTAGGTTTTTCTGGCTACAGGGCCACCTAATCTAACCTTCTGTGTTAAAAGGTACTCAAAATTATTCTGTGACCAATTGGGTCTTTTTCTTCATTTTGTTTGTGTCCTCTGAATACTGAATTTTAAAATTCCTCTTCACTCTACCAGTTATTGTTATTTATATTACACCCTTAGAGAGAAAATCTTTACCATGTAAGTATGAATTTAAGTATCTGACCATACAAATTCACAGTCCCTCCTCTGCATTTCCAAAATTTTAAAGCTCTGAAACTAAATTTTTGCTTAAGTTTGGCACCAAAACTAATTTAGATAGGGGCAATAGTAGAAGTCACCCAATATGAGGCTATTTATAGTCTTTATCTTATTTCGTGCAGCCATCTATTTTTAGAGAAATGTTCATGTATTTGGTTATATGGTACTGCCCTGGTCCCATTGGGGAGTTAGCTAATATACTATGTGTGTACTCTGTTACTTTCCTAAGATCTGAGCAGTCCTGCATTTCCTAATGTTTCTCACTTTAGGGTTTTCAGATAAATGATTGTGAATCTGTAGTAAGTTTGAAGGGAATAGTGCAAAGGTTATCTGTACATATTTTCTGTTTGTGCTTCACAGTTGGGATAAAATGTTAAGGAATTGTTTTCAGGTTTTTTGACTAACAATGAAATGTAGCATAATAATTCTCCTCGAGAGTATTTTGTTTGTTTTGAAAACATATCCAGTAATGATTATAAATGATGCCCTTTCATCACATAGAAAAAGATGACAGTAACACCCGACCAGGCCTTGCAGAGTGTAAGCTGGTATGTATTGACGCTGGATGTTGTGCCACATAAAGTTTCATATAAAAAAGGTTCTTCCATAGTGAGAATATTCTCTCGAGTTCTGAAGAGCTACTTAGGTTAGAGCTCCCTCTGTTGACGGAAAAGTAACTTAAAATGATTTGGAAGATTTGGTTACTCAACAGAATCATGAACATCTATAATATTTAGTAAACATAATTTTGCCTCTTTACTTCCACCATATTATGTCAAGTGTTTGTTCCTCTGTACCTATAATACACTTATGGTCAGTACTTTAGAAAAGAGATTTACATCAATAGACTTCAGATTTTAGCAATGAACTTGAAATTTTTTCATTAAAAATATGAAAATTGAGATCATTCCAAGTCCCTTTATATGTTCTATTGTCTGCTTCTTAGCCCAGGTATTGAACACTCAAACTGAGACCTAAATTAATTTTCCTGAAGTTACATACTCATAGTTTCTATTTCTGTCGTGTATATCATGTTTGGCAGAGTTTATGCCCCTGAAATTATATTGAAAGCATATGTTCATGTATGTGTGCAGTGTTCTCAAAAGAGTCCACAGCTTTTCATCATTTGTGGTCTAGAAAAAGTTGAGAAGCACTGCTCTGAAATAAAAGCTTCTATGATCCTGTGACCATGAGTAATTGTACACAAGGTTCAGTAAATGATTTTCTACCCAATAGAATGGCCAGCAGATAAAGGTGTTCCTAGAACCAGCATTGGTTTTGATCTTTCTTCTGCTGGAAGAGGCTCTGCTGAAGGAAGGAAGCTTGCTTTACTTTCCTGGTGATCTTTCCGGGCCTCAGAGAAAGAATATATTTGAAAGTTAAGAACCCTATATGCCCTGCTGTGGTGAGAGCAGCCTTGTTGGGAGTCCAGCTTCAGTTCTTGAGTTAAATTAATTTGTTCTACCAAACCACCAACTCAGGCTTTGCATAGAGAGAGAGCATTTGAGAAAAATTGATGATAAAGGACCTACCTCCAGTGACCTTAAAATCTCACTGAGGAGATGAAGCATAATAGCCTAAGTAGAGAAGACTACGTGACACAGACCACGTACCTAGTGAGGGAAACTGCAGAGTAGGGGGCAGGGATCAAGAAGTGACCTGAGAAGTGAGGCGAGGAGCAGCAGGCTGAATAGTTTGCCCAACCTCTGGTTTAGAGGGGGTGAGGGTAAGAGCAGAAGGAATTTCTAGAGGGTTTGTTGCTGTGCAATGGTATGAAATCATTGTTTTAATAAGAATAATATGACAGCCCTAACCGGTTTGGCTCAGTGGATAGAGCGTCGGCCTGCGGACTGAATGGTCCCAGGTTCGATTCCCGCCAAGGGCATGTATCTTGGTTGCGGGCACATCCCCAGTAGGGAGTGTGCAGGAGGCAGCTGATCGATGTTTCTCTCTTATCGATGTTTCTGGCTCTCTATCTCTCTCCCTTCCTCTCTGTAAAAAATCAATAAAATATATTTTTTTAAAAAATCAATAAAATATATATTTTTTTAAAAGAATAATATGACAG